TCTGTTCTTAAATCCATTAAAAAACAGTCCACAGCCGGTTCGGATGGTATATTTAAAAAAATCTTGAGGGAACTTCCGGAACAGGCCCTTGGTGTTCTATCGGAAGCAATCAGCCTGTCCTTTTCATCGAGCATTTTTCCACCTAGTCTCAAGGACGCATTGGTAGTACCGATACATAACTGCGGGGATACAAAAGAGCCATCAAATTATTGCCCAATATCATTGTTATCAACAATATCCAAAGTTGTTGAGAAACTTCTCAAAAAACGTATGATGGACTTCCTATCAAAACATAAAATTCTTAACTCCGCCCAATTTGGATTCCTTCCTAAGAAGGGTAGGTACCCATGATGCCATTGTCCGCGTTCTGCAAAAACTTCTGAAGCACTACAACAATGGCTTTGCTACCGCGGGGGTGTTCTGTGACTTCTCAAAGGCCTTTGACTGTGTGAGTCACAGAACTCTTCTGAGGAAGTTAGAAGTCTACGGCTTTAGGGGTGTGATCTCGAGGTGGTTCGAATCATATCTTTCACATCGAAGTCAGCGTGTCACCCTGGATGGAAGGTGTTGTTCGGCTCAGCGAATTGTCCGTGGGGTTCCACAGGGATCAGACCTGGGACCAATATTATTCCTCATCTATATCAATGATCTTCTCTACCTTGATATATCGGTAGTCTTCCTTGCGTTCGCGGATGATTCAACGGTTGTGTGGCACGGGGGAAGTTCTGGTGAGCTGATTCAGGTGATTTCTGGGGACATCAGGGCCAATAAGTGTTGGTGTGATGCAAATGGACTGCTTTTCAACTTTGGTAAGGCTCGGGTGCTTGGGTTTTGGGTTCCGATGTAATGTTGATGATATTGATTGTGACGAATTCTCGAATGTAATACCACAAGAGGTTCCAGGATTACCGGATAATACTTTTATCTTTCACGAAACGCGTTACACAGTAACACCACGACTCCGAAGGAGGAGTGGTGTTGCTGGTAACGTGTTGAGTGTCAGGTGAAAGAATTAGGTAATCCTGAAACATCGAGTGGTATTCAAAAGGTTATACAACGAACTAAACTTTAATACGCTGTACATTATTCCCATATGACACGAGAGGCTTAATAAGTGATAAGCCTTTTGGGATTATCGCGCTTGGTGGCAATATTTAAAGCAAATTCTATTATAGAAAAAGTTTTGTTTCATCTCTTGCCACCAAGCGCGATAATCCCAAAAGGCTTATCACTTATTAAGCCTCTTGTGTCATATGGGAATAATGTACAGTGAGTTGTATAATCTATCAAATCCTCTCTAAATACTAAATTTCTTGGACTTCAACTTGACGTTGATCTTAAATTCCAATTGCATGTCACTGCACTTGGCGAGAAACTTGCTTCTGGTTGCTACTGTGTCCGAGCTGTGATCACAAATTTGGATGCAACCATAGCAAAAACAGTGTATTTTGCATTGATACAATCCCACCTTTCTTATGGACTGCCTTTTTGGGGCTGTTGTAGCCAATAGCTATTTCAATCAGTGTTTAAACTCCAGAAGCAAGCAGTGCGCTGTATCGCTGGTGCCTCCTCGGTGGAACACTGCAAACCCTTATTTAAAAAATTTAACATCTTAACATTGCCATGTCTTTTTATACTTGAATCGGTAAGTCTCTAACATAAACACATATCTTCGTTCCCTGTACACCAAACAGCCTTTTTCACACGACAGACGCACAATATACCGCTCCGGATTCTGCACTCTACTCTTGTGAAGAACTCAATAATTTACAACAGCGTGAAATTCTATAATCACCTTCCTGGAACCATCTCAGATATTTCACGGTTTCGAAGCCATTTGAGGAGCACTCTACTTCAACATGCCTTTTATATAGTTGATGAGTTTCTAAATGTCTCTATATAGGAATAAAGCCTTCCTGCTTTTGTTGCATGCATCTTATATTTTGACTTAACTGTCGTTGTATTTATCGTAGTCTTGAATTTGCCTGTCATTTGTTTGTTGCGTTTCTTTTTTGTACCATTTACTAACTTATTTATTTTTTGTGCACAATGTTAATGTTAGTATGTGAACATGCTTTTTTAATAAGATTTTTTGTTCTTTGACAATAAAGCTTGTTTTGAATTGAATTGATATTTTCCATAAATTCTTCTTCTTTTGTGGTGGAACAGATATGTCATAGTTTCCCAAAATATTCTCTGCCTTATATTCTGATGAGCAAATTTCTTGTTCCATACCTGAACATTAACTCACTTACTTCCTTCTACCAATACCTACTGATCTAAGCAAATGCTCCCATTAATGAACTATCACTAGTGGTAGTTCTTTTTGGATTACTGAATTCTTGATAAATTCCAAACAATGATGCGATGTCTTTCGTCACTATGTTCAGTCAGGAAAAAGATTCTTTTGATCATATCCTGCAGCTGCACTCCTAACATTTTCAATGGAAATTCCTTCTTTGAAATTTCCTTCACGTCACTTGTACGTTCAAAAGATAACCACCTAGTTCAGAGTAAAATTAAAATCAGCAAAACCTTTATGGCTTTGTTATTGCCGATGTAACAACACCAATTTTCATTATTTATCGATGTTGCTCTTGACAAATTAATATTTATGTGTAACCGATGGACGTGCATACGAATTCGTGCATTCGTTCAAGACAATACTGGGAAAAAATCGGCATTGCCCGACGAAATGCAAATAATACCGATCGGAATTTGATATACCAAAACTGCATTCGATGTGTGAGAATTTGTCTCGTAACAGTTAGCTATAATTCAAAGAAGCTACAAATAGGTTTTTCTTGGGATATTTAAAAAAGAAACAAGAAAGTGAATTTGTAAGAGGTTACCAGAGGTTTTATACGTTATATTTAGGATGACGTCATAGAACACCGCCAGACAATGTTTTCAATGCATATTTTTTTTCTTATAACTTACCAGAATGTGTTAATGTGTTAATTCTGTCAAACGAAACAGAGAATAGGTAACAGGGCATACAGAATCCATGCCCAAAATTCCAGAAAACACTGCCTTGTTCAAGAAAGAGGATTATCGAGTTTATTCTGGATTTTACAAGAATGGATTACAGTTATATAAAGGCCGGTACTGGTTAGTGAGTTTTAGTTTAAGAATAGTTGTGATACCTTTTAGATAGTGATTGGTGTTAAGAGTTAAGTTGATTGAGTTAATTAGTGTCAGAGTGTGTAACGTGGAATAAATTATTGTTGTGTTTATTGGACTTTGATTTTGGAATAAATGGATCCAAGACTTCTGTCACGTACCCCAGAGTCGTGACAGTACTTTTAGTTTTGTTAGGTTTTAGGTTGGGAGCAGCAGGCAAGATTTACCAAATGTGATGACGTCCTAAATATAGCGTAAAAATCCTATACCTTACTAGGTACTAAAATGATAAAATTTCAAATCATTTATGTTGAGATTTTGTATGTAAATGATCATTCGGGGACCCCCCCCCCCCAAGCTTCATACACTGAATTATTCTGAGATTAGGAGACGGATTCTATGAAAAAGGCACTCAGAAAAATTGAAAAATTGATAAATCAGCCAAAATTGCTTAACACGATTTTATCTCAGGAACTATATGTCCAAATGAGTTGAAGTTTTCAGGGATTGAAGTCCTCTACTGGAATAAGAATCGCTGAAAATTTCAGCTTTCTATCTATAATAAAAAAGAAGTTATGACCTTTCAAATTTTTCCAAAATCTAAAATCACCTTCTTACTAAAACGATGAAATTTCAAATTTTTTTTTGTTGAGATTTTGTGTCCTGATGGTCATTTCATATCCCCCGAATTCCATACACCAAGTTATTTGAAGATTTGAAACCGAAATCTATGAAAAAAGGCACTCAGAAAAATTGAAAAATTGATAAATCACCCCAAATTGCTTAACACGATTTTATCTCAGGAACTATAAGTCCTAATGAGTTGAAATTTTCCGGGATTGAAGTCCTCTACTGGAATAAGAATCGCTGAAAATTTCAGCTTTCTATCTATAATAGAAAAAAAAATTATGACCTTTCAATCTAAATCTTGTAAAGCTATAAACAGAACAAAATTTAAAAAATGACTGCATTACAAAAACAACTGGAATTGTTTTATACATCAACCAATAACCATAGAAAAATGCTTAAGGCCAATCACCAATACTGATTTTTATTCAATGCAGTTTCATTTTTACCTTTGTGAGAATTTGGGTTTGTGGAATGGGTGTTAAATACGAGACATGAATTTGTAAATGAAACGCAGAATTGATTCAATTGAAAATTAATGTGTGATGGATTAATGGAAAACGAAAATCATCAATGGCTGCGATGAAAACTAATTGAAAGTAGAACATCTCTAAATTCCATGAAACTTTGTTGTTATAATAATATCTTCAATGGAAAATTATTGTTATTATTTCAAATAACTATTTTGAGAAAAAAACATCAACCCAATTGGTACCTGCCTGACACCTGAGTACTACTAACTTAAAAAAAAACACAGAGCCTTATCGGCGTCGCCTATCGGGTCCTTCATCACCTCGACCCATGCATTATACATAGAAATTACATACACCTTCAAAAAAAATTGTGATTTAAGAAGCTCCCAATAGGAAAAACATAAAGACAAAAGACCCAATTTGCATTCAAGTGCCATCCTCTCTAACGACCCAAGTTGGAGAGATGTTAATAAATTTAAATATGATAAATATTAAAAATTATGGTAATAAAGCTGTGTAGTATTAGAGAGAATTTGTCAAGACACTATTACAGTATTTAATACAGAAAGTGTTAAGAAGGAGGCAGTATAGAAAAGGATCAGAAATACCTTAGCAAAAAACTGGTCAAGTTGAAAAAAGGAACATACCTACTTATTGGGTATAACCAAAGCCCGTATAACACAAAATAATTAATCACGTTATTTTTCTCACAATGCGAAAACTCACTTAGAAATTGGTCAGTAGCTTCACAATAATTTATAGTAAATTCAAACTTACCGAGATCCATTGTTTTCGGGTATATTAACTCTCGGGTGTAGTACCAAAAGTTTGGTAGTACGGTCAACGAATCTCGAAATTTTCAGCTGGACGTGACTTGAAAGGCCATTCGAACTTCCTTTTCGTAAAGTTGGCTTCAGTACATGCACGTTTCGATTTGTATTATGTGTGGATGCATCCTGTAACAATAAAAAAATTATTGCTAATAGTGTTTTTAATTATTAGTTTTTTTAATGATGTTTTTGGGAAGCGATTGTGGGAAAATATAAGCTGTTAAATATAGTATAGAATATAATTCTATAACATTTTCAACTTGTATGGGCCATAAGTACCCTGAAACCGTACCAATTTTGAAAAAAAAGACACAATGTTAATACATAAAGTACTAATTACCTGTCAAGAGATGGATGTGGTAGTCGATCGCAAACAAAAACCGAACTTAGAAAAAAACTTATGACTTTTCCAAAATCTAAATCATAAGGTTCCTTCTTACTAAAACGATGAAATTTCAATTTTCTTTTTGGGGAAATTTTTTATCGAAATGATCCTTTGGGATCCTCCGAACTCCATACACTAAATTATTCTGAGATTTGGAACCAGATTATATGAAAAAAGGTACTCAGAAATATTGAAAAATTGATAAATCACCCCAAATTGCTTAACACGATTTTATCTCAGGAACTATAAGTTCAAATAAGCTGAAGTTTTCAGGAATTGTAGTCCTCTACTGAGGTAAGAATCGCTGAAAATTTCAGCTTTCTATCTATAATAGAGAAAAAGTTATGACCTTCCAAAGTTTTCCAAAATCTAGATCATAAGCTACCTTCTTACTAAAACGATGAAATTTCAAATTTTTTTTAATTGAGATTTGAGACAAACTGGTTAACACGATTTTATCGCAGGAACTGTGGGTCCGAATGAGCTGAGGTTTTCAGGAATTGTAGTCTTATACTGAGGTAAGAATGGCTGAAAATTTCAGCTTTCTAACTATACCTAATAGAAAAAAAGTTATGACCTTTCAAAGTTTTCCATAATCTAAATCATAAGGTTTAAGAAATTTAATTTTTTTTTTTATCGAGATTTTGTGTCCTTATGGTCCATCGGAATCGGCCAAACTCCATTTACTAAATAATTCCCAGATTTGGAGCCGGATTCTATGAATAAAGGCACTCGGAAAAATTAGGAATTTCAAGATAGCCATTTTGTAGAGGGGATCCCAAAAAGACCAGTAGAGACCCAACTTGACATGGCCACATTAAATAGGCCATAACTCTGGAACGTCTTGGCCGATTTTAATGAATCATGTTTCATTCGAAAGAGGATTAAATTGGCTACAAAATGGTGCAATTTAATATCAATAACTATTACCATTCCAAGTTATAAAGTTATAAAGCTTCAGAGTTGAAATTCTTGTTTTGAAGTTCGAAGCAAATTCTATAACATTTTCGACTTATCAGGGCCCTGAAACTTCGTACCGCATTATAATTATATCTTTCTTTTCTGGAATAGTGCCATTTTTAAGGAATTATTCTGGAATAGATTTATTAGATTTAAATCTCACCAGTGATCTTATGAAACCGATAATAAAACATACAAAGTAAAAGTAAGGCGGATAAACTTCAGGAGTTTTGTAGAAAATTCAACACTAAAGAAAAGATCTTTCCAAATTTAAATTTTACCAGTTGGGGATTATCTTATACAAGACTGATTCGAGATTCCATGATTCCATTTATGTAATCGTACGTATATAACACTTATATGAGTGCCTTTTATACAACTTCTTATTGGCATATTATTTCTATTAAAAAAAAATTACCAATTTTCAACGAAAACAATCCCACATAAACATCAATTTTAGATTGCAAAAATTTGGCATTAAACCGAATACTTTATTAACTAGTGACAGAAATAAAATGAAATCGTATAAACTTAAACTTTACGATCTGCGTAAATCTCCTGCCAATTAAGCGTCATTCAAATTTTACGCCTACAGTTATACAAAGTAACATTTTGGAGTAATTTACATACTCAGTACTTAGGAGGTTAGAATTTATTCACTACTTGCAAAGTGACAATGTATTAAGTACCTACTGCCCACCCAATTGCTTTTTTTAGTAGTCAATTATCTTATTAAAACAAAGGCGTTATATCTTGTCTTCCTCATTTAAGATTCAAAAGTAAGAGAGTAATTGTACTAAATGTTTCCTTCAACAAATATTTTTCCACCACACTATATACATGTATCCCCCTTACAACAATATTTTCCAGGAAAATATCAGAACATCCTTTCTCTATGGCCCAAAATATACAAACAAAAGCACGATGAAAAAAAAAAAAGGTAACATGCGTTTTTTGCTGCATGTTGTTACTAATTAACGTTTCAGATTTTGGAAAATAAAACCCACATGTTTTGGGCCATGGGGCCAGATGAATGGAAATTTGATATCCCACAATGTATGTAGGTAGGTGCATACAATGAAATGTTCAAAAGGGACATTATTGGAAAGGATTTTTGAAATTAATAATTCTTTTTTTGCTTCAATTTGTTAATGAGATATTACCTGAAACTTTTGAAAATAGGGTTAATCTTCTTAAGTTTATTTGAACACTAAATTAATTGACTTTTTCTATGACAATTTTCATCGTTTGTTGTCCATAATAGGCGAACACCTTGTATTTTTGAGATGGCGTTGTTCGATTCCCATCGTTTAAAATACTTCTTCTTCGCCTCAGCAATTCCATTCCAACTAAGCTCCGAAGTGAAACACTTCCTTTGACTCGATAAAGAATTCTGCAGAAAGCTTTGGTATAGAGAAGATCATTGTCAGTAGGTATGGCCGTAATTGAGACAGACCTGTTCAGAACAGACCTGTTGAGAACAGCCGGTTCAAGGCCAAACTTCCAAAATTTCATTTCCAAATCAATTTCACGATTAAATTTGGTTCCCAGTCTCAAGTGCCCCCATACCTATTCACATTTGTAAAACGCAAGAAGGTTGGAAATTATTACTTAAAAAGGTCATCAAGAACGAACTTAATTTAGGACGTCGACAAATTGAAAAGGATCAAGCAATATTCATTATTAGAAAAAGAATCCAATTTTAAAGAAGTGGAAGTATAATCAAAGCTATGCAGCCATATCGTAATAATCTTTCCAAATCAAATCAAATTTCCTCCAAGCTAAAGCTTAAACCAATAATTCCATTATCTTTTTTCCTATATTAAAATGTCCCCAAACCAACGTAAATTGGAAATAAGTTCTGCGACATAATTTTATCCATTAGAAAAATGCTTTAGGCCAGTTATAGTTTATCAACGTTGTGCTCCAGGAAATGACTTTCAATTTGCAACTGACAAATTGTATATCTATTAACTTAATAATATAGATCAAAATATTATACGTACATAAAATCCTGATCTTCAAACGAACAAAACTAAAGCATGTAATATCCATTCCATTTGCTAATAGGGCCACTAGCTCTCAAGGAAAAATTAATGTTACGTACCGAAACTTAATTAAGTTACATCTGTCACTGGAAAAAAATAAGTAATCAAAACTAACAGGAACATCTTGGCTACCGACTTGGGTTCCTAAATTTAAATTTCAGAAAAGAGACCACGACGATTCCACCAGCCAGCAGCCGGCAAGGTTCGTTCATTCATGAATTCCACATTTTATGAATCAAATTAATTTTTGGACTAGATCCATCTGGTGGACGTACATCAAAATGATTAATTTTGTAGGAGATTTTGTCCTCTATCATGTAATTTTTGGCTTAAGGTCTATCACTGAAGTTTATTTTTAGTAGTTTTGAAGTTTTCTCAACGTTGAAATGAAGTGAAAGATGCATTTATTAATTAGAAGCAATTATCTTTTGTTGCAATGAACTAAATGTATCTTAAAACCATCTACTGAATTTTATGGAAATAAAATAGAATGTGTGAAATGCATGGCCCCTTCATAGGTCTTGGATCATGATCACAAAAGCACCTTCTTGTCTACTGCTGCCATGAAATTTGAAAAAAAAATTGTTGAGATTTTGTGTCTTTATATGGTCCTTTGGGATCGCTGGAAATTTCAGCTTTCTATCTATAATAGAAAAAAAGTTATGATCTTTCAAAGTTTTCCAAAATCTAAATCATAAGGTAGCTACTTTCTTACTAAAACGATGAAATTTCATTTTTTTTTTTGTCTTTATGGTCCTTTGGTACCCCCTAAACTCCATACAGCAAATTATTCTGAGATTTAGACCGTATTCTATGAAAAAGGGTACTCGGAAAAATTGGAAAATTGAAAATCACGCCAAATTGTTTCACACGATTTTATTTCCGGAAATATAGGTCAAAATGAGCTGAAATTATTAGGGTTTGTAGTCCTCTACTGGAATAAGAATCGCTGAAAATTTCAGCTTTCTTTCTATAATAGAAAAAAAGTTATGACCTTCCAAAGTTTTCCAAAATATAAATAAATCATAAGGTAGCTAGGAAATTTCAGCTTACTGTCTATAATAGAAAAAAAGTTATGACCTCTCGAAGTTTTCCAAAATCTAAATCATAAGGTAGCTAGCTACCTCAGTAGGTACTAAAACGATGAAATTTTAAAAAATTTATTGTTGAGAATTTGTGTCCTAATGGTCCTTTGGGATCCCCCAAACTCCATACACTAAATCATTCTGTGATTTAGAGCCGTATTCTATGAAAAAGGGCACTCAGAAAAATTGAAAAATTGATAAATCACCCTAAATTGCTTAACACGATTTTATTTCTGGAACTATAAGTCCAAATAACCTGAAATTTTCAGCTTTCTATCTATAATAGAAAAAAAGTTATGACCTTTCAAAGTTATCCAAAATCTAAATCATAAGGTAGCCTCAGTACTGAAACGATGAAATTTCCATAAATTTTTTTGTTAGTTACCATATTAAGAAGGATTCAATAAAAAACATTCAAATAATAAATACACATAGTTGTAACATAAATAAATAGGTATAAAAAATAATTGTTTGAACATTTTCAGGTTATCACAGTCTTTTATATTGTTGGGTAACATATTGAAATCATATAAACCTCTAGATAGGACAGTGTTGAGCATTTGGGTGGTACAACACTTGTCTGACAATACAGTCATTACAATTTCTGGTGTTATAACTATGTAGATCTTTAAAAAACTTCACCCTATC